AACTCTTAGAATTGGATAATGTAACGACAACTGTTGCTGCTGCAGCTAGAGTTCTACTACGCGTCATCATCATCATATCAGTATCAAAAATTAAAGTGAGTATAAATATAAAAACGATAAACACATCCTTTCATTTAACTTCTACTGTACGAAATTTAAAAAAACAAGCAAACATACTCTGTGTTTGCTTTTTTTTGACTGACTGGTCTTTGGCTCCATTACAACTATCCAGACTGATTTCTTTTATTTTCATTTCTGAGTCACTCGTCTAACCAATAATATTTGCAGATGGAGACTTTTAATTATATAATACTTCTATTTTCTCCAGAGATTAGCGCCATCTATTAACAGTATTATGGATAGATTAAAACACGAGGGTCACGAACATATTGTACAGTTAATACAGTCTTGAGAGTAGAGACAAACAAAGAAAAAACGCTGCTCGTATAATCACGAATGTACTATATAAATGGATCCTAAGATCGTACACAAATGACGTCCTGATGAACACAATGCGTCTTTTTCAACACAAAGAAAACAGATCTTAGAGGAAGAGATAGAACAACATACAAGAAACAGCTTTCATCGATTTACCATTTCTTGATGCTGCAGCACTATAAATAGAAGAAAGAAAGATAAAAATTAAAAATTAGTGCAAAGTCTTAACGGTTTGCGTCTTATTAAAGCTGTAGTAACAACAGAAAGATAAAAAGCTTGAAGGTCGTTACAAAAACCCATGTAGTCTTTTTTTTTAAATTCATCCGCAGCGTTAGGCATTCTTTATAAGTTGAAAACAAAGACTAAATACTTACTCATGCACGACAGATATATCATCATTATTTCCATCATTCTCTTCATTTTCTGATATACGACCACGTTTTTTAGCAACAGAAACTCTGGTTTTTGATTTAATTAGTCTTGAAGCAACGGCAGGCTGGGATAATGATGACGATGAAGAAGCAGCAGCATTGCCATTTGTTCTAACTCGAAGACCATCTGGCATAGGAGTTAAACGTGTTGTTGCTGCTGTTAATGAACTTTGTTGTGAACCTGTATTTACTGAATCTTCACTGCCTGTGCTACGACGATTAGAAGATAAGGAAAAAGCAGTTGAAGTTATTGTTGTTGCGACTACAGTGACTAATGTACGTCTTTGTGTTTGTTGACGTGCTCCCAATGTTGTGACATCATAATCTACTTTTGTACAATTCTGTGTAGCAACAGCATTTGCATTTAATAATCTGGAAATAAATCCACAATGTTCTCTTCAAACGCAGAACTTCTTATTTAATGCGAAAGTTGTGTAATCAGTAACGATTGGTAATTGTCCATTATTTTTTAAGACTTTATGTTAAAATGTGTGCCATTTTTGTGTTGTATAGTTTCGTGTCCTAAGATTGCTAAGAAAATTGTGTTGCACTTTAATGTGTCGTGGCAGATGTGTCGCAAAATTGAATGTGTTGTAAAATTAGATAGGTTCGCCAGTGTAGTAAATAAACATATTATTGAAGAAAAAATCGTCAAATTTACATATTAAATTCCTTCATCACCAGTTCTTTATATGAAAAAATTGATCATTTTGCAAAAAAAAAATATTTCGGTCATATGAATCCTGTTTTCTACGCAGTCACTTTATTAAATTAATTGAACAATGCCCATATGCTCGTCGGTTCATTGTCTTGGTCGGTATTATAGACCGTTTTGAATGATTCACATCTAAAACTTTCTGAATACTGGTTCTTTTATTAAGTCCATCGATGTACTTATATATTTATTTTATACAGCACAATAAATCATTTAAAAATATTTTTAGTCATATGATGCGATAAGATCATGAAAAGAAGAATTTAAAAAATATCTAATTTTGAGTTATGATTACTTTAGATAAAATATTTTTTTGTTCATTTAGCAAACGATTGTCACAAATGTCGATTACTTCAAGGAGAAATAATTTAACTCACAATATGACATATATCATTCATTTTAATAATTCTTATTACCATCTCATTATTTTAGATTTACTTGAATTTCAAAAGCAAATCTTTATTTGTCCTATTTGTAAAATTTCTTATGATTCTCTTAGTTCTTGTACTAAACATATGCACTCATATCATTCTTCTACACACAAAGTGGTGGTGCCATGTCCGTTTTGTCCAGAAACAATGATCCAAGTGCGAAGTTGGAAGAGACATATACTTAAAATTCATTATAGTAAAGTGAGTTATTGTACATTTGAGATTCACATATTCTATTTATTAGAAATAGATATCTCAAGAATACGCTGGACATAATGATTCTAGAATACCTGTTAATACATCTCACTCGACCTATGAAGAAACTGATATTGATTCAAATGCTCATACTACTGCCGACGAAAATATTATATTCAACCATCAAGATTATGCAACAACAAATAATACCGATCCTGTTCCTGCATATACCAATGATTTAAGTCATGGAAATATACAAATGTTAAGCAAAATTGAAGAACGATTAAGACTGAATATTCTACGTTTACTTATTAATTTAAAAAATAATAATGCAACGGAAACATGTATTGAAATATGTTCCAGAGATCTTATTAATGTTTTAAATGAGTACAAGGATTTAGATGTGAGTTGTGTTATCATAAATTTACATACTAGCAATGATATATATGTATTTATTTATTTAGACCAACATCTATTTTGAAAATATTAAAAATGCTATTGAAACCAGTACTAGTAGGAAAAAGTTTATTTCTAGTAATATAGACGTTATTAAACCAAAGTCGATTACCTTGGGCCAATCAGTAAGTTCATTGATATTCAGTATTTAAACATGCGATATTACTTTATTTTTGTAATGCAACGAATGATAATGTATGAAAGCATTGAATACAACGCTCTAATTAAAGAAAAGCAACTTTTTTAACAGCACTACTGTCTTTGAAGAATTTTGAGAGCTATAGAAGCTATTAAGGAATGAAATGTCAATTCAAATATTCTATATGATAAAACCTTAATTTGAATGAGACCATATAGGATAGACATTATCATAGTATGATACCGCGTTCAACTTGAACATTCTAAAATGAAACAATTAAACCTTAGAGCATAAAAAGCTTTTTTTTTATTGCAATTAAAGTTTCTATTTCTTTATTTTAGTATGTTTTTAATAAAAAGAAACAAAGGCAAATTCTCCGTATTCATCAAGTTCAATATATCCCTTTTAAAGAATCTCTTATCAATCTTCTCAAGAAACCTGAAGTTTATGAATCATTAGATTGTCGAAGTCGATCAAGAATTATGACTGATTTGTCTACAGGATCATTTTGTGAACAACACAACTTATTCAAGATACCTGATAGTTTAAAAATAATTTTGTTTTACGATGATCTTGGTATCAACAATCCTCTTGGTTCTCGAGCAAAGTCGGTCGGAATGTTTTATTGGACATTAGCTAATTTACCTAGGTGAGTGAATAAATTTATCAAAGATGTTAATGTAGACGCAACTTTTATTGATGATGAAATTAGGTTTGTTCGTAGTCAGGACAGATGTGTGTTTTTACTTGCTTGCGTTGAAAAACAATACTTGAAGCAATATGGATTTACACCTGTGTTGAACGACTTTTTCCATACTATTAAAGAACTTGAAACCAATGGTATTGCTGTTGTGATCGATGAAAATACACATGTCTTTAAAGGTTCGCTATTTCTAATATGCGGAGACATACTGGGTGAGAGATTTTCTTACATAGCAGTTTGATTCAATTTTTCATAATTCTCTGTTCAGGTCTCTCACAATTGCATGGATTTACATGTACTTTTCGGTTAGGTCGAAAACCATTCTTTTATTGTGATATTAATCAAGATACTATTGGAAGAATA